CACTCCTTGGCCTTCTTATCTCAAATCCACCATCTCCTGTTTCCAGAAGACTTTCATATTCATAGGCGTTTGAAGTGCATCTGGTGGGAGATGTGTCAGTCAGATGACCCCTCAGAAACAGCAATTAAAACAAGAACAGGTGGTTTTGTATCTGTTTTTCGGGTGAGAAGATCAAGTGTTCCTTGGGCAATTTCAAGTAACTGGTAGTCTACAAAGACGATTCTCGCCTCGGAATGACTCAGCAGCAGGACAGATAACATAGCTGAATCAAGGCTATTAAGAATTGGAAAAAACAGAGTATAGCCGGCAGGCTATACTATTTATTTTTTAAAAACAAATGGAAAAAACCAGGTATGGCCGCGCGGCTATACTATTTCTTTTTAAAATATTAAAAAAGAGCGTATAGCGGCTATACTATTTTTTTTATAATTAAAAAAAATTAGAAAAACCGAGCGTATCCGCGTGGCTATACTATTTTTTTTATAAAAAAAAAACGTAGTATAGCCGGGCTTCTACAGTGTTTAAAACAAGTTGCGTTAGTTTACACTTTACAAATATTTCTTTTTAAAAATAAGAAAAAACAGAGTATCGCCGGCCGGCTATACTATTTCTTTAAATAAAAATTAAAAAACGGTATAGCCGGTCGGCTATACTATTTATTTATAATAAAAAAAATTGGAAAAAACTGATTCTTTCAATAAAATTGGAAAAAACAGAGTATAGCCGCTACTATACTATTTCTTTAAAATAAATTAGACAAACCGAGTATATCCGCCCGGCTATAGTATAGCAGGTCTCCTATACTGTTTAATAAAATATATATATATATATGAAAAAGGACCCTCCAAGTTGCACTAGTTTATACTTTATTGATATTTCTTTTTAAAATTTGAAAAAATAGAGCTTAGCTATCTGGCTATGCTATATCTTTTTAAAAAATTGGAAAAACCATTTCTTTTTAAAATTTGAAAAAATAGAGCTTAGCCGTCTGGCTATGCTATATCTTTTTAAAAAATTGGAAAAACCCGCGTATAGCCGCGCGGCTATCCTATTTCTTTTTAAAAACTAGAAAAGACAGAGTATAGCCGGCCGGCGATACTATTTCTTTAAATAAAAATTTTACAAAAGGGTATGGCCGTGCGGCAATACTATTTATTTTTAAAAAAATTGGAAAAAACCGAGTATAGTCAATCGGCTATACTGTTTCTTTTTTAAAAAAAAAATTAGGAAAAACATAGTATAGCCACTAGGATATACAATTTCTTTTATAAAAAAAATTAGAAAAACCTAGTATATTCGCACGGCTATAGTATAGCATGGGCTGCTATACTATTTAATTTTTAAAAATATGAAAAAAGCACCCTCCAAGCTGCATTAATTTATACTTTATAGATATTTCCTTTTAAAAATTAGAAAACTCATAGTATAGCCGTGCGGCGATACTATATCTTTATAATAAAAAATTGGAAAAGACCACGCATAGCCGCATGGCTATACCATTTCTTTTAAAAAAAATTAGTAAAAACAGAGTATAGCCGACGGCTATACTATATCTTTTGGAAAATGCTAGGCTTACCACATTTTTCATACCACATTGATACCACCTCTCTAATAGATGTGGGGGTGGTATACAATGTGGTATGAAAAATGTGGTAAGCCTAGCATTACTCATATCTTTTTTAAAAGTTAGGAAAAATGGGGGTTTCACAGATGCTTCATACAAGTACAACTTAAAACACTTTGTTTGGGACTTTTTGGAGGGTCGGCCTTGTGGTAGATTCATGAGCTATGACTCAACAACCAAACAGACCGCAGTGTTGGTTTGCGATCTCTACTTTGCTAATGGACCGGTGGTTTCGCCGGATCAAAGCCACGTAATCTTCTGTGAAACCCCATGTACGATGTTAGTTTATGATTTTCTGTTGTATGAACGTGTAATCTAGATTGATAGTGTGATAATGTAACATGTTAGATTGTTTTTTTGTTTGTGCATGTTATATATAGGAGGCGATGTAAAAAGTATTACGTAAAAGGGGAGAAAAAGGGAAGTGTTGAGACTTTTATTGATCAGCTGCCAGGCTTGCCAGATAACATCAGATATGATGGAGAGGGCTATTACTGGATTGCATTGTCAATGGTAAATAAAAAATGTTCCCACCTTTTTTTTCAAAAAGCATTTCCTTGTAAAGGGCTTATACTAAAATCCTAGTTTTTGTTTTGTGCAACTTTTGATGCTGTCACCTACATTGGCTTGGGATTTAACTGTTAGATATCCTTTCATCAGAAAAGTTATTGGATTATGGAGAAGTACACAAGGAGACCCAGTGTAGAGAAGAACGGTGGCGTTTTGGCCGTTTATTTAGATGGAAATTTGATTTCACATTATTATGATCCAGGATTGTCTCTAGTTTCAAGTGTAATCAAGATTGGAAATCACATTTTCTGCGGCTCGGTATTCCATCCTTACATGCTTCACCTCAACATTCAACAATACCCAACAATGGTTGTTGCTTGAGGAACAAGAAGCTACTATATATAATGCGGTACGAAACACATTTTCTCTGTTATATATATCCCTCAACATAAATGGGGTGGACTAAATTTATCTTGCATAAAGGGATTATGTGTGAAGGGGTATTATGAATAGGCTTGGGTGGGTTGTATTAGAAATTTAGGGCTTTAAAAAAAATGACACCTTACTAAGGACCGCTTGTTGGTAATATATATATTTTTTAATACAAGCGATAGTGAATTACAAGGGTGTGGTGGGGCTGATGCAAGTTCTAGAGAGATTCTAAAGTTTTGTAAGGAGGAATTGCTTGCTTTTATGGTTACAAAAGCTATGATGTATGGGAATTTGCCTAGCCCAACTGGGAAGATTTAAAAAAAAATTGTGAGGGGGAAGACCAATCTTGTGGGAGGCCAATAATCCCTGATATGGGCATTTGATTTGACAATTGGCAAACAGGTTTGTTGGTTTTACACCCTTTGGTTACATGAAAACTTTCGGTATTGGGGTTGAGGATGATTATTTACTTATTATTTTTGTTGTATACCATAATAAGGTTATAATAGCGCTTTTTTTTTCTTTGTTACATTGCAGGAAAATTGCAGGAAATCAAACAATAGACATAGTATTAGTAGTAAAATGAAACCGATTTTTTCAAGTCTAAGTTCTCCATAGACATGAAATACAGAACTTGTGTCACAAAAGGAGATGCTTAAGTTATATTATAAGAAGAAATGGGCCAAAGGGGTAAAATAAAACAAAATAAGAAAATGGCCCAAAACAACAATCCATTAACAATAATCCAGAATCCAAATCATGTTATCTATTTGTTGAGTCATTCTATAGTGACAAAGTTCTTAAATGAGTTCATATCTCTTAACCGCTGAATCAAACAAATCAATATGATTAAACGACTAACTAATTTGGTTCATCAGTTTATACAGAACCAAACCAACCAACCCATTTATTTAATTTTCCACAATTGGCTGTAGTTAGGCCCGACCCGTCCACTTTGTTCTCCATATACGCAAGATAAGTCACCAGCAAGAGCAACCCACCACTCACTCACTCACCCCACCCCACCTGCACAATCTCTGCATGCATGCAGTGCAGCCAATAAAATCTCCACAGACACTACTATAATTTGAACACATACAATAGAGAAAACTACCAACCCAACGTTAATTAACGGTCGTGTCCGACTCAGTGAACCCTGCAGACTCATCTTTTTATAGATATTACTTGCCTCCTTGTCGGTAAGGAGATACTCCTTATTCCTACGAATCACAGTTTGATAAATATGCAAAAATAATTCATCAAAAATATAAAAAGAAAAACTTATGCACATGTCACATTGTTATTGACAAAGTCCATTGTTTTGCTCCAAAGCTAGATAAAGAATTAGAGATAAGATGGAGGCATTCGTACTATTTATGATTTTATTTCCATTATAAGAACAGATTTGGAGGATTATCCCTTAATGCTTGCGGTTTTTGTGAAAATTGCTAGGGCAATTGTTCTTATGCTCACAATAGAAAGGGTTATATTTTCTCAGTGTTTGATATATTTTAATTATGATGTAAATGCGACAAGTTTTCATGGTTATCTCCTAAGTTCGTGATAGATTATTTTTAATACAAGTCCATTTAAAGGAACGAAAACATTTTCATTTTCCTTTCCAAGCATTAAGATAAGTCAACCATTAAAGGCGTGTCTAGTTCGTGCAAGTCACGATCAAAGAAAGAAATGCAGCAAAACACTTCAAATAAATATTTTGAATTAATTCTTTTGCTGTTTTTTTTAAACTTGGGTAAGTTAAGGAGGAAGAGACCAAGGCAGGGGAGGGTGACACCAAGTCAGGCAAAAATGGATTTTTTTTTTTTATTAAAAAAAAGGCCAGAGACACCATGCTAAGCCAGCCAAATGGAAATAAAATGAAGGTCTATCTTCAGTTAATATGAGGATCATGGGAAAAAAAAAATTGGAAAACAAGTGGTCCTTATTTCACCAAAATTCCTAAATTATAAGAAGGAGAAAAGAAAGAAAACAAACGTTCTTCACAGACGAAGTGTTGACAGTTCATCCCCGGCCTCATCTGTTATAGTTCTACTTGGAACATGAAAATAAATTTAAACAGAAAAAATATATATGATTACATCATAAAATTAGAAAATGAATGTAATCCTATATGTCATTGAAGTCAAAGAACTTGGATTACTAACAATACGTGTGTGAATTGCACACAAATTCTATCGTAAGAATAAGACTTATACTGAATTATTTAGCTGTTGAAACAAAAGAAAAGAAACACGTCACGTTAGCTGTTGAAAATTATGGTCAGCCCTATTATATATGCTCACACGGCTCAATTATATACCACTCCTCTCATATCCTCCATCGATTTTCTGGGACGAGTTGACACCATTATTAACTCAGAACGTGACAATGTCCAACTCAAGCGACTCGCCTTCCCCAACCCAACCCTCTCATCACACTCATCCCATTCCCACAACCAAAACGTCGTCGTCGTCTTCATTATCATGGCCCTCGGCTTTTCTTATCTTCTCAGTTCTGGGTCCACTGGCAATAGCTCTGCTCATCTACCAACTCGACTCGCTCGACCCAGCTCCTCTACCCCTCCACGAGTTGACTCAGCCAGTCGCGGCTGCTCCAACGCGTAATGCCCACATGCTCAAAGGGTTGGAGTTTGTGGGTGCTGGGGCTTTGCTGGTGCCCGAAGACGTGGCTTATGACTCAAAGTCGGGGCTGATTTACACGGGTTGTGCTGACGGGTGGGTCAAGCGAGTCAGGCTGAACGAGTCGGCTGCTGACTCGGTGGTGGAGAACTGGGTTTTCACCGGTGGGAGGCCGCTTGGACTCGCTCACGGCCATAAGAACGAGGTCTTTGTGGCTGACACAGAAAAGGTCAGCTCGATCCTAAATATATCAGTGCATATTAAATTTGTTCATGTTTATTATTTGGTCAAAGTTCAAGTAAACATGGATTCTTACCCCCAAAAAACAAAGACAAAAACAAAAACGTCACAAATGAGGATTGGTTCAGTTGGTAAGGTCCATGCACGCACTGTGTGTAGCCCCACCATTATTCGTTGTCATGCCAGCAATCCTTATTGGTGCACGATATGTAATTTACTTAGACATATAACCTGACATGAATTTTTCTGAGAGTAGGGTCTTATGAGCAAAACTCATATAGAAACTTGCTTATCACTGACAAAACTCCTATTTGGTAAGAGACAGAACTAACTTAAATGAGACTGTATAGTCCAATAGTGAAAAAAACGCCTCACTTGCTCGTCTAATATAGTGAGCTTGAAAAGTGATTCAGTGAAAAAAATGTCTCACTTGCTCGTCTAATATAGTGAGCTTGAAAAGTGATTCGCGAAATAAAACACGTGAGTCCGACCCCTCTCTTTAAAAAATACCAGAAATTTATTTATTTTTTCTTTTAATTATTGTTTTAGATCTTTGAATGGGTTTTTTTTTGTTTTTTTGCAGCATTTATTTTTTTTAGATAAAAATCCTTAAAATATTACAATAATTATTTTGATATTGCATTTGGAAAATCAAACTATAGTAATTTACAAATGTTTGATATTTTTTTGATATTGAAACAAGTTTAATAATTCATGATGTGAT